CCCCCCCCCCCCCCCCCCCCCCCCCCCCCCCCCCCGCACTTGCCCTCCATATTCATGTTCACCATGACCTTGGATGACACGATGCCTACGCTCCAGCTGATCGAGCTGGCAGTGCCGGCCTTGTTCCTCTACCTGATGGGGTTGATCAAGGGCGATTCTAAGCCAACAAGATATGAAGGAGATATTCCCTTCGCCGATACCCCGGTACCCACCTTCGAGGACCTGCAGACGTTCGCCTCGCACCCCAACGTGCTCTGCTACGACAACAACATCTTCTTCAGGTGACTTCGATCGTGCTCTCGATCGCATCGTTTGGATCGTGTGTGTAACGCGCCTGAAAAGCGACGTCCTGCACCTTAAGTCGCACGGGATGACGTGCTCCGGGACGGCAACGACCGATCGTACCGGTATGGCAATTGCCGCTGACCGCGTCTCTCCCTCCGCATGCGTCGTTTCGACGCTTCTGCAGAGAGAGTGTTAGATCAATCATGCGAGGCGTTCCCTCCGTTTTGCTTTCTTGCCGTGGCGCGGTGGACACCAGCCTTTAGAACGCGATGAAATTGTAGCAGAACAGAGCGATCGGCATGTAAGACTGCCCGTTTATGACATTCTCGCTGTTCGACGACCTACTCAAGACCTTGGGAGAGCTACGATACCGTTGTCCTTTCTCGTCGTCCGTTCTCAATGCACCGAGAAAGGCGAACGAGGCGTGATCGAGTGCACTAACAACCCAAGAGCGGGCGACAGTTTGCTGAGACGGTAGTGTAGTGTAGGGGAGTCGCCTGCTGCATAGATAGACCCCCCAAGTGTTCCTCTTCCTCCGGGAATACGAATAACACCAACATCTGATCCCCGTTGTCATCGCTTGGAGTAAGACACCGACAAAAAGAATATTGATTGCTGTGTTGAGTCAAGTGCACAGCGGTCTAAAGCGTACACTTGGGGTTACAAAGTTCTATGCAGTAGCGGGAGTTATATTGGAAGTACACTCAAACGACCTACAAGGCTCATTTTTTTCCCCAGCTATTGTAGTGGAGGCAAAGGAGGAGGCTGGGGATCCTCGGCAGGTGGTTCTCAATTCTCACCCATTTCCGCTCCCTCTATCAGGTCGACAGCGCGTTCCTCCATCGCAGCAGTCTAACCCTAAGCCACCTAAACGGTTTTGCTTGCCTGCAACAGGTGCAATTGCGACAACTATGGCGTCGGATTCCCGTCTGACTACATCTCCGGCCTTCCAGTCACCAACACCAGCCTGGTAAGTCGGGATAGCTGTTTTACGTTACATGTCCCACCTCACGGCGCTTCGCGCTTGGTGATGTGCTATAGCCTGGTCCGGTGAAAACTCGGCGTGCTCCGTCCCGGCTTTGTAGGGATGCGAGGTCAATGGTCGACCCCCCTCCCCCGGGTCGTACTGCAAACTTGAGCCAGCCATACTTGACCCACCCGCGCACGTATCGCAGATAGCGGTAGTGCGTGCCAGCAGAAATGCGAATGCGTTCAATGCAAGAATCAGTGACGTAGGTGATCCTTGATTCCCGCATACCAACAGGTAGGGGCACTGGTTTGCATTCCCCGCTGTCCGTACCAAACAAATGTTTCTTGTACGTGCCCTGCTCTTCGGCTGGAATCGTTATCCCTCCCCGCTGATGTGCACCGCTATTTTCTATTTTGATTCAGGCCATGTGGGGAAGCGGACACGCGTTGTCTACGTTAGCGTACGTCTGCAGTGGCCTTGCCAGCCTTGGAGGGAACTTTTCTTCCCTGTCTGCGACCGACCAGTGCACCGCCGCCCAGGTAACCCTCAATCCGAAATGTACCAGCCTGTTTTCATGATCGAAGATCTCCAAGGCCCATGTCTTACGAGCCCCGTCCTTTTGTGAGAGATCGTTGATTCTGATGCCCGTGATTGGCACGCCCGGGTTTTCGCTGCCGTGGTACAAGTAGTGTATCGGCGTTCGTTGCCCAAGTGCTGCGTGGGTAGTATCTTTTCGAAGCCCTGGTGCGCTGCAGCACAGCCAGCTGTTGCACCGCGTGCGATCGCTTACAATGCGGCTTACCCTGCACGACCGGGGGGCGCATCACAAAATGTATGATCCTTCCTTGCCTTTCCGACTGCCTAACTTCCCGGAAAACGACGACAATAAATTTTGACTAAATAGGTATTTGCTCTTTTCAGCTGTTGTCTAGCCAATATCCACAGCAGTGCTCACCAATCCTAAACCTGTTCCGCAGCTCGACAACCGAAAGGCCTTGGCCAATTTCGCCCCCCCCCCCCCGCTGCTCGCCGCGCACCCCTCCCGCTACCAACGCAAGTTCTACGACAGCATGTGCATCGACCCCTCAACGGGCTATACGTACGCCGGCTACTACTACGGCACGGACTCAAGCGCTGGAGACTCCATTGCTACCGTTGAAGACGCATGCGGCGCGCCGGGGGGCGAGTTGAACAGCAGCGAATACCTGACGCTGTTTTCTGACACTATTGCGGTTCTGGTGAACGATGAGACCGAGCCGTTTGAAGCCACCATCCCAGAAGAGGACATCGAGACTGAGTGCCAGGTGAGCTCTTCCCGTTTCTCCAGAAGTTGCCGTGTTCCGATATATTTGCTCTCAGGGACGTACATGCATGCGTACATACATGCGCACCCACGCGCAGAATTTTCGTGTGTTAGGAGCGTGTGTTAGGTTGGAGCCACTAGGGTGGGAACAAAGCAACAAAGTTGTTCCGGCTTGGGGAGGGATTGGTTAATGCCGAGGAGCACTGCGGTCGGGGTGTGCTACTGAGCGCCCCCTCTCCGCGCGCCGTGGACTTGTAGTCTAATCCTGTTCCCCAATTCTACACGCCGTGTTTTTTTCGGGTTCGCGCCGGGGAGGGAGACAAGGGGCACGGGGCTGCAGATGCTGCTGCCGAAAATACGAACCGTCGCCTCACGAAACGATGCCTTACGTACGATAGGGAGGGGGCTCTCAGCACATCGAGACCCTCCTTGAGTTGTCGCAGATACTGTACTGTACGCCTGCACCGTCTTAGTATATTTCCTTATGACGACCGCGACACCGAGGAATAGGAGCAGCAGCAGCAGCAGCAGCAGCAGGAGCAGCGTCTGCGGGACAAACACCTCCATATTCACACATGTCCGGGCGTCATCACTCACTGATACCGCCCGTTGAAGCCTTCCTCCCCCCTGTCTCTACCCTACCCTACCGTTGCTCGGCTGTGGGGTGCTGGAACCTACAGGCTCTGGGGCTTGCGGTGATGCCAAAGGACAGCACCAACGGAGTCGACGAGGCAAACGACTTCCTCGCTTACGTCCAAGCAGCGTATCCCGAGTCGGCCGACCACTGGCGGGCGCTCGAGTCTGAGGCCGAATTCACGGAGATAGTTACAGACGAAGGCTACACTAGTGCTGGCGCTGATCCAGGGCTTTCCTTCGGGGTTGTTTTCTACTCTGGCGGGCCAGATTGGGAGTATAAGGCAAGGGGTAGGGTGGCGGGGTATGGTTTCGGTTGGCTTCAAGCACGTCGACGATCTGTTATCTCGATCTCTCGTTCCCCCCCCCCCCCAGAATCTTGTCGTAGTTCACACGAGTTGGGGGCCGACTACCCAACGTTTGTGCGTTTAAGCCGGCTGTGACTGTTGTAGTTGCACGTTTTCCCTGCTGCTCGGTGCGTCGTCGTCGATAACGCCTTGGGTGCCGCAGATCAGGACAAACTTCACGAAAGAGTTCGACGACTGGGGGTACTACTACAACAACGTCCCGTCAACGTTTAGCAACACAGACACGAGCTGCAAGGAGCCTGGCGACTGCTTCTGGACATCGGTAAGGCTGATCGGTGGCAACCAGACGTATGGCAGTACATTCTCTACAGGCAGTAGGTTTTGAACCAACTTTTTTGCAGTGAGGGCCGTTGCAATCTTGCAATGGACCCGCAATCTACGAACAAGGAGGACGGTTGTGTTCTTGGTTCTGTGCAGGTCCCACGCCCAAGTGATCAGCTGCGATAGTTCTCGTTTGGCATTGCTTGCTACCTACTTTACTTTTTGTTAGCTTTGTTAGCTTTGAGGACGACAATTCATCATTGTGCAAGTGTTGTGTGGAAGTTAATTCTTGGTGAGGGTTACCGGCTCTATTCTGCGGCATGACTAACCTACGCACTCGAGATCTCGAGAGCGACTGATCAGTGATAAAGTCTCCAGATATGTTGTTTGAGCCTCGAAACGTCGACGGGTCTCGTCTCCCACCGTATTGAGAATTCCTCCAACCCTCGCCTCCTTCCTGTCCGTGCCTCATCCGACATCACCCGAATAAACAGCGCTACCACAGCAGCTCAGTGCTAGCGGTGCAGCAGCTGGTGGACAACTGGATTATTAGCCAAAGCGTGCCCGAGGGAAGCTCGACCGAGTTTTCGCCTCCCCAAGTACGGGTGGCTGAGTTTCCGCACTCTGCCTACGCGCAAAACGGCTTCTGGGATACCGTAAGTCGAGGGGTGTAAAGAGAGGTGTAGATAGGGTGCGCCCCGGTTCACAGCAGTGGGATTCACGAAAAGGGACCATCTCCACGACGAATGAAACCAATATGATCTGTTATCAACACCGCCTTGACTGGGAGATCAGGGCGTATTCGGTGTAGACCGTCAACCTCACCGTTTGGAGGTTATGGGGCCAAGAAGAGACCGTGTACTGTAGGTGGACGCACTTGGAGGGTTAGATACTCCGTCCTTCCTTGACATTTGTTTTCAACTCAACTGAGACTTTCGCAGGGGTTGTGCGAAGCGCGCTCGACCCTTGCTTACTCCATGGCCGTCTTATCATGAGCGCTCTGGCGAAATCAGACCACGTGAGGCGGGTATTGCGGCTCGAAGCAGAGCTTACCTCCTAGTGCTAATACTCTAGTTGCCGATTCTTGCCGTGGTCGCAAAGCGTAGTGAACGAATTTACTCGTTTGCGTTTGCCGACTGACCCCCACCTCCTCGTCGCGTTGTTCTCCCCCTCTTCCTTTCCTTAAGGCCGGCTTCACGTTCGCCATCCTAGTCGTGATTTCGGTCATGTTTCCGGTTGCCAACACTCTCAGCCACCTCGTGAAGGAGAAGGAGCTGAGGATCAAGGAAGGGCTCAAGATGATGGGACTCACCGGTCTTGCTCACACCGCCTCCTGGGTGTTCCACTTCGTCTGCCTCTTCTTCTGTGTCGCCCTGCTCATGGTGATCGCCTCTGGCACTCTATTCGAGAACAGGCAAGCTAAAGCTAGAACACGGCTCTTTGAAGATGTTAAGAGGAAACACGGCGGCACTGATCGCGCTACTGGATTCGTTTTTCGGCGTTAAAACGTGAAGCTGATACATAGGAAAATACATCACTCCTTGAATGCTCCTGTAGCTTACCTGGGGCCAGGGTTGGAATACTCTCGCCCGACCATTGCCTTTCTCTTTGAAGACCTTGACCATGACCCCAAAATGTCTGCATGGAAGGTCAAGTCAAAGCCCGTTGCCTGACGCCCCCCTTCGCCCGGTCCGCCGATGTTTGTTTGTGTTTTCCTTATTATTCAGCGACAAGGTGCTCATGTTTTTGTACTTGTTTGCCTTCTTCATGGCGACGACGTCGTTCTGCTTCTTCATCGCAGGTGAGACCCACGTACACACAATCAGAGAGAGACAGACAGAGAAACGTGACGGATAATTAGTACTTCTATATATACATAGGAAAAACTGGTTTTCTGATTAACGATATACGCTGACATGGAACAATACAGACAACGCCGTCTACGCCGGGCTAAGAGAACGTGCGAAGGCCTGTTGAGCTCCCCAGCAAATGTTGAAAGCGTTAGCCACTACCCCCTACCACCAATCTCTAATAAGAAAAATATTTCCGAAAGAACCCTACTCCGGCTATTTCAAGGTAACGAAGATGATAGATATCCTTCTTCATGAGTACTGCGCTCATCAGCTTTTCCTCAACCCAACCCTACTTCATTCTCTGTGCTTGCACCTCCTACAGGCTCTTCCCCAGTTTTCCCAACAGCTCTAACCCTTAGTACACCAGCGCGCCCAGCTATCCCGAACTTATCCCGGAGTCTTGCCTCTCCATGTGTGTATCCCATCCACCTCCAGCCCTCCCCTGCCAATATCACCGATCGCGCCCTCCATCGAACCCGTGCCTTGTCCCTATCGACATCCACCCCTTCTCCTTAACCTCGTGCTGTGCACTGTAGCTCTGCCTTAAGAACCCCCCCACAGTTACAGCAGTTCTACCGCCGTCCGTGTTGTTGTTCCAGCCCCGTTACATATAATACTATGTCTCCCTACCTTTTCGACCTCAGCGTTCTTCAGCCGCGCCCGGACGGCAGCCACGATCGGCACCCTGCTGTTCTTTGTTGCCCTCTTCCCGTACTTCGCGGTCTCGGATAAGGAGGGCATCACGGCCAACCAGAGACGGGCGGCTTGCCTGTTGCCCTCCACGTGCCTTGCCCTGGGCACTGTACCCCTGGTCGAGTTCGAAGACGCCGGCGTGGTGAGCAGCTTTCTTTCTGGGTTGCTCATGGTTACCGTTGCGCAGCGGTACCGTCTTGCGGGGTGTACGCCTTTGAGTAGTGTCCCTCCTCTTCCTTGAGTGACCAATGGGGTTACTCCGTGTCCTTCCGGTTGGGTGGGATCGGCTCGTGTACATAGGCATTGAGCAGTGGCCAGAAAAATAACGGTCAATTCAAATCAATTCAATTCAAATCAAGGGAGACCTTCACCATACCTTTCCAACCTTGCGAGTGCCCAGCTGGATCCACATGGTGGTTCCTTGTGGGCCCGATTTGTTTTATACTCCGTACCTTTGTATCAATCTTGGACCATGAAAAAAACATTGGTGGGTTAGCACTATCGTACGTATTCCCGGCGTTTATCCCAACACGGGAGAGAAGTGAATACGGTCTCTAGACTAGACCCGAAGGTTTTATTGACGCCTTGGACCTTCCGCTGTATCGTTATGCATAGTCAACATACGAGGGGCCTATCCATACACCTGTGCTTCTTTCTCGGTGATTCCTCCGACTCTCGTTCTTAGTGTCAAACCTCTCGCTGTCCGACTCCGCCTATCCGCTTCCGAAGACTTGAAGGCTGTGGTAACCCTGCGCTTCGAACGCCTCTTGGTTTCCACACGTGCGGTCTGCGTGATGCAAAAAACAAATCGAAACAGCGTTCTTGTTGGTCCTGGTTACCAATGATCCCAGAGAGCGACATTCCAGACAGCCGTGTCTCGGGTTGGTGTGCTTCGCCTGCGACATCTAACTATAGTCCTGACCTCGAAATCACTACAAATGGCCAAATTGTTATTTGCGAACGAAACGGTGGCAGGGGGTAACGAGTGAGACGGCCGGGTCAAGCGAGAGCGGTTTCACCTTCAATGACGTCATCACCATGCTCATCATCGACGTGTTCGTCTACGCCGTACTGGCGTGGTACGCTACCAATGTAAGTGAACAGGCTACGCAAACTACATAAATTGAAACGGTCGGGTTCAGGGCACGTTCCATGATGGCCCGTTGACATCATCGTCAAGCACTAATTCTCAGCATCGTCCATTTCTCTATCGCGAATCCCGCCGGTGCCCAAACCAGGTGTTGCCTTCGGAGTGGGGAACATCCCAGAAGCCTTGGTTCATCTTCACCAAGGCCTACTGGCTCTCCGGAATGACCAGCAGGTACGTGTATGCCCAACTATTATACTACATGTGAAAGCGCGTCCTGCCGGACGAGACGGGCTCGCTCTTCACAAGGTGTTTCTTGTGGAATTTTGTTGAAGTCCCTGTGACCGTGACTGCATTTCAGTTTTTGACTTTCTCGAGTGGTGTGATGGTGGTTGATGTCGCGGGCTGACTGACTCACGCCTTCATCGGTCATGTTTCGCGTCTCGTCTCCTCCCGTCGACGATTGTACGGTGACTCGGTGTCCATCCATGTCGAGGCTGGCAATCTGATGGCATGCGTGGCACACAAATGGGAAGATTGAAACAGTTTAAGAACACAACGTTTTTCAGCCCGTTGTGTCGGCGACGAAGAGTACCATCGATACGTTTGAGAGGGCCTGCGCACACATGACCAACAGCGCCCATGCGAGATCGTTCAACGTGTCAGTACCTTACGGTTAACTTGTTTCTGTGTCATTATATCATCCTATACTACAGGGAGGCGATGGCGAAGAACTCCGAGTTGCTGGGTCACGACGAGAGCGAGGGGCGACCATCGGTGGAACCTGCTTCTGAAGAGCTCAGGGCCCAGGTGCCCGCCGGCCAATGCGTCGCGATTCGCGGTGAGCGCACAATGTCATCATTGCATAGTGTCGTGGATCATGCAGGCAACCTTCATCCAGTTTCACCAATACTCATTCGAAAACACAAAATTTCGTACTTTAGAACGAACGCCTGCACTCCTTGCACCAGCGCCACGCTGGTTTGTGGTTTGTTTTTGACAGGCGCTCCTCGTGTCGGGTGGTCTAACTTTAACATTCACCTCGTACGCATATCTAGAGACGGTGAACTTGCGATGTTGACACCGTTTCTCCTCGAGTACAAAGGGTTCTCAGTTTTGCTGTCGACTTCGAAGTTGGGCTTGTTGGAGCTGGAAGCCGATGCGCTTCTTCTGCGGTCAAGCGGCTCAGACAACTCTGTTCTGGGAGGTATCGGTGAAAGGCGCCCCGTCCCTTGCGAGAATCAGTGATCGACGTTGTTGTGTGATTGCTTTGTTCTGCTGAAGACGAGGGGCAAGCATCGCGATACCATAGAGATCGCTACTCCTGCGATGCCTCCTTGAACAGTTAATCTCATAAGCACGGTGGTGTTGTGTCAACACGATTCAATCGCAGGCCTAACGAAGGTGTACCGGAGCTCAGTTGGCGGTTCCAAGACGGCGGTGGACAAGCTAGATCTCACCATGTATGCTGGTCAGATCACGGCTCTGTTGGGCCACAACGGCGCCGGCAAGGTAACTGTACATAGATAATAAGTCAACCGACAGCCGAAAGTCAAGACCACAGTTGATTATCTCGCCCTTTCCCAGGGCTTCGTGTTGCGACAAACTGCAACAGACTACTGCTGTAGTCCCGAGTGTACGGTTTGGATGAGCGTAGATTTCCCACGTGCGCGAAAACGGGGGTAGGGACATCTGCATTAGGTATACCCTTTTTGGGCACATGCGGGCTGATAATCTGCACTTTTATGACCAAAGTGCGACTACCAGGAGAAATGGCCGTTTCAGGGTATACAGCCGAGCCCAAAGCGCGTCAAACCATGGCAGAAATGTTTATCTTCACACGAACTTACGCATAGCGTGTCCCTTGTGGGTCTCCTTCCTAACGGCATATATGCACATGTCCGCATCCAACGGCTGGGACAAGAACATTTTCGGATTTTGTTCTCAGTCGATTCCGGACCTACCCTCCTTAACGTGCCTTTTCGGGGTCAAGAGCCGACTAAAACATGGAGCAAGTCGAAGTCGTGCTTGCTTCCCAACCTCAATAGCTGGGGGATGGGGGTTTAAGTTTGTAGCAAAACAGTCGTTGGATACCAACTGGAAGAGTTGTTTCGCATCTGAACCGTTGATACGACGACACTGCTGCGTGACTCAGTGCTCGTAACCTGATACGTACTATTTCTATTTCGCGATGCCGCCGCTGGTTCGCCACCGAACGTATCCTCATTTTTCTGTTGCCACAATGCCTCACGTAAGTACATCCAAACACGTCAAACGCCAAATCGATAGCTCCTGTATACAATCGTTGTCACCATCACCATCATGTGCGCATTTGGTCCACCACACGTTCCAAGCGCATCCTCCAGTTTGCTTGTAACCGTCTGGTGTGCGCTCCGCCCAATGCTTGGGATTCCCCCCCTCTTGCCGTGTGGCAGACAACGCTCTTGGCTATGCTGACGGGGATGATCCCAGCGACAGAAGGGAGTGCGTTCATAGCCGGGCGAGACGCCAACGAAGACATGTCCAACATCAGGAAGTCCCTCGGCGTCTGTCCCCAGCACGACATCCTGTACCCTACCCTCACCGTCAAAGAGCACCTCAGGCTGTACGCCGTGCTGAAAGGGGTGCCCCATGCCGACCTGGGGGAGGCCATCAAGGTATAATCGCCTACACCCGTGCCCTTATCTCAGAAGTCCATGTCGCGGTAATAAGATGGGCAGCCTCGGGCGGAAGGCGGCACCATCTGCCGTCCCCCATCCTTCACCACGAGCAGTTTAAAACCTAACGCAGTGTTCCACCTAACATTGTTCATGGCAACCACAAGACAGCGCTAGTGGTAGCTGGTACTATTAACCTTCGGTATTCGCTTTTCCTTTCTCTGCCCCAAGACGACCAAACGACGGACCAATACTCCCCTACCCTTCCCCTTCTCTTTCTGAAGAAAACCTTGTTGGACGTCGGGCTAACGGAGAAGGAGAACGAGAAAACCAAGACGCTCTCCGGCGGGCAAAAGCGCAAGCTGTCCGTTGGAATTGCTCTCATCGGTGGCTCAAAGGTCGTGTTCCTAGGTGAGTAGTCGCTTGAGTGTCAAAGGTGTGCGACAAGGCATACTCCTATTGAGTGCAGGCAGCAAAGCCAGTGGGTGCGGCAGCTGTTAAGGAATTCCTGGTTTCTTATCTCCGGGTACGATCCGGTGGTATTTTTGGGGTCGCCTATCTCCTCGCCAAGGTCTTTCGAAGATTCAACCCGCTCACCTCCATCCCATTATTGTCTCTCTTTTCCCCTCCATTCCGCGTTTGGCCTCTCCCTGTACCTCATCCCGCCGTCCACACTCGACTGCTGTTGTGCAGATGAACCAACCTCCGGAATGGATCCGCACAGCCGACGCTTCACGTGGGACTTGATCCGCAAGAATCGGGAGGGCAGGGTGGTCGTTTTGACGACACACTTCATGGACGAGGCGGATCTACTCGGTGATCGCGTGGTGAGAACAAGAATTCCACCAAGCGTCTGGTGTTCCAAACTGTGTCCGAATGATACTGCTGTTAGCCCTTTTTTTTTGTCCCAACCGGGTACTGTTCTTCGCTGAGCAGAATCAGTTCGACCGCATGTTCCGAGTTCAGCTTTGTTTGCCTTCCCCCTCTACTCACTACTCAGGCGATCATGGCGGACGGGATGCTCAAGTGCTGCGGCAGCTCCCTCTTCCTCAAGAAACACTACGGAGTTGGGTGAGAGACTTTTGTCAGCTGTTGTCCTCTAGAGCCGTCAGTTGACCGACTCTTCTTCGTTGGAGGTCCGGGTTGGCGGAATTTTGGTGAAACGGTTGTATTGTGTCTTGGCTGCTGGCTTCCCGAAAGCCAGCCTCCCCACCGAGAGGGATCACGGTTTCAGAGTCGAAGCGCTGTCGACCCCCCACCTTCTCCTAAACAGGTACAACCTGACCGTGGTGAGAGGCATCGAAGGAGACTCACCGAGCTCGCCCAATGGCCAGGAAGGAGGGAACGCCGTGTCGGAATCCAAGCTGGAGGAGGGGACACCTCGCCACGAGAACGACAAATCCCACCTACAGGTTTGCTATGACCGTACTGTACGAGACAATAGCGCATGGAGTATTGTAGATGCCGGTATCCAGATTCCTCTGGAGGACCCACCGTAGTCCAAGGCACTTTCGGCTGGCGAATTTACTGTCCTGCCTTCGTTTTTTTTTGTAGGAGAGAATGGAGCTCGAAAAAGTAGCCATTTGGGTTGTGTTTCTGCCACAACAGCAGCACCTCTCCACAGGGTACCTCGCTGTACAACGATAAACGACGTGCGTAGACCAACGACCAGCTACCGATGAATCTCACACCCATCAGCTATTAATATACAGCTATAATTTCTTTGTTGGTGCCGCCATAGGCGAGTTGCCTAGTCTCCCCCACGTTTTCGGTATCATGAGTGCTAACAGCTTTTCCTTCCGCCAATCGTTTCCCCGAAGCCGCACCCGGTCATCCTAGAACCACTAATGCTTCTCTACCTCAACCTTTGGATGCTCCCCACCTGTTCCACTCAACCCTCGGCCATGAAGGTGGGTCCAATCAAGGCTCTCGTTCGCTCCCACGTCAAAGCTTCCGTCCTCCTCAGCGACGTTGGGGCGGAGCTGTCGTTCCAGCTGCCAAGTGAAGCGTCTTCTTCGTTCAAGGGAATGCTGCTCGAGATGGACGATCGCAAAGAAGAGCTGGGCATCAACAGGTCCGTACCATCGTCGTCCTCGTCTCTCGTTGTCGTCGTCATTGCTCTGGCCTCACCTTCCCCTTAAGTATTTTAGTGTTGACTTGAATTTTAGGTGGTGAGTGAGTTATTATGCAGGAACATGTTGGATAGGTGTTGAACCAACCCAACCCGATCCCAACCCTAACCTCATGCCCGCAACCTAAGCGCGGCTTCGCCACGCGTTCTGAACAACGTTGAAAAAAACAAAAACGCTGAAAAAGAAGAAATGCCAATATTTTTCAGTCTTTTTCTGGTATGTTTGGGGTGCCGAAAGGGCGTGCGAAAGACTAACTCCCCATCCTACACGTTTACCACGTCACCCCCCCCCCTACCGCTACCCTGGTCCGGTGAGAACCCGGTGTGCTCCGTCCCGGCTTTGTAGGGATGCGAGGTCAATGGTCTAACGACTACGGCATGCACGACTATGAGTACCCCCCCCCCCCCCCCCCACCGGTTCCCTTGGGAAACGGGGGTGGTGCTTCCGGATGGGGGGGGCGACCCCCCAAAAGGGGTTTCTTTGGGGGGGCCGGGGAACTTCCCACCCCCAAAACCCCGGGGATTTTGGGCGCCCCCCAAGCGAAAACCGCCCCCCCTCTTAAATGGGAAAGGGGGCCCCCCCGGGGGGATGGGTCCCAAAA